CTACTTCAAATAGAATAGAAAAAGTAAAGGGATGCATTACTTTCACTAATGACCAGTAAGTAATAAACCTAAAAAATAAGTTCTCAAATTAGTTACATGAACACATCCACTTGACATGGCAGCACAAAAAGCAACTATTTCTTGGATGGTTTTGCCTAGAATGATGGTATACAAAAATATAAATTCAAGTGCATAATTGTTTAGGGAAAATAAAACTAAACTTCAAACCCATGGGTAGTTTGTGGTAAAAAAATTGAAAGAACAATTATACGTGATTCATTTCTAGAACTTGAGAGTCAATTTTAGGTTTCCTTTTATCATTATTTGAATTTTTTTTTGTATATAATATTTGAATTGAAATCATATATGCTTTCAGCTAATGATATATAGCACGATGGCTATAATCGACTAAAGTTAGCTCAATCATAAACTTAGTTGTTATAAATTACAGCTAAGTAATCATAAATGACAATAGCTTTTGTCAAACAATATTTCATTTTCCTCTTGATTACGTGCCAGGTATTATGGTTATAGTTATTAAAATTATATTATCATTACTTAAATTTACATCTCTTTAATTACTCAACTTGTGCAATGCACAGGCCTCTAGCTAGTTTTACAAACATCTATATATTTGTATGTTTGCACAAGTATATAGTAAATGTGACTTACATATTAAATGTGGCAAGGGTGTTTACTCTATTACTACATTCCAATGCATACAATTTTTTTTTTATCATTTGATTTGCTTTAAATTGTTCATCAATTTGAGAATTAACAGATTTTTACATATAAAAAAAATCCAATGAATTAATTGCGAATTAAAGAAGAGAAAAAGGCATGTGGCGTATCAATTTGAAAAACGGAAGGACCAAAAAAAAAAAAAAAGTTGCGGCAGAGACGCAAAGGACTAAATGGAGGAAGACATGTGGCATGTATCAACATGAAAATTGAAAGATGGACGTGAAATAAATAAGGAAAGTAACTTGGAAAAGGTCACAAAGGGAAGATAATAGCTCATCGATCACCAGACTCAATTCTCGATATAAGAGCTATCTCAACTGGCTTCGCTCAGAACACTCATTTTTTCTTAGCACTCGTTCGGTTTTCTAATTTATGTTGATCCGAACAAGATCTTATGAGTTTTTAATAACTCAGGCTCAGGTCACCCCAATCTAAGGTGAGATGTTAACTAAACATGGTGTAAAATACTATGTTTTGAAAGGATGATAAATCTCTTAACGTGTGGCTGACATCTTTTTGTATTTCTCTTTTACACGATTGCAATATATATATATATATATATATATTATGTATTATGTAGAGGATCTGTAATCTAACCACAAACAAGGCCTAAAATCTATATATTATAAAGTAGAACTAGATATCATGATAGTATTTTAACATACTTTTTAATTATGCATGTTCTAATTTAGTTTTAAAATTTTAAATTTTAATAACAAAGCACAATGGTCATAAATTTTGTTTATAAAATGTGTCATTTATGTTTTTAATTTACACAAAATGCACAATGGTCATAAATTTTGTTTATAAAATGTGTCATTTATGTTTTTAATTTACACAAAATGACAAGTTATAAGATAGAAAGTTGTTGATGAGGTGAAAAGTTCTATTAAAAAAAACATATTTTTGAAAAAGTTACTTTAAATTGTGCTGAACAGCAATAATCATGTAACAAAATATAGTACTATTTACATTTCTTATGTTCACGATGATAAGAAATTCTTAAATAAAATAAGTGATTATTTATATTTACAAATAATAAATTTTTAACTAGAATATGTTGTATAAATTTTAATTTATTCGGGGATCACATATAAATAATTGTTTATATTTTTTATGTGCACGTGATATTATATTTTAAAATAATTTGTGTAAAAATAAAATAATTATTATTTGTATTCTTTTTTAATTACACACAGGTACTCTCCTATTCGAGACAAGTTCATTTAAAACACGTTTGGGTATTAAATGTGTACATCTCTCATGATAAGAATTAATTTTTATCCTCCTATTGTTATCTACATTCTTATTATGCATGGATAGCTAATACTAAAGCAAAATAAGATGTTTGCACAATTTAAAAGAAAAAAAATCTTCTATCAACAAGAAAAAATAAAAAAATTATAAAACAAAATATATATTTTAGAATTTTTATTTACATATGTATAACAATTCAAAGATTAAAATAAACTGTCATCTATATTTGATTATACACGAGATAAGACATTTTATAATAAAATAAGTTATTTTTTATTTACATTTTCTAATCACAAATATGCCAGCTAATAAAAGTATATAATTATTTTTCATTATTATAATTATTTATTTATAATCACCTGTGCAATTCTATTTCACACTTTGTATAAAACTATTTTTTTATAAAATTATCAAATTAATGTCGATAAAAAATTATCAAATTAATATTTACTCAGAATTTAATTTCCATTAATTTTATAATCATGTAAAATTTTAAAAAAATTATCCAAGAAAATGGTTTAATTTTTTTAATTTTAATAACTTCAATTTTTAAAAAATAAAGAACTGTGGCTAGAAAGTTTTTAATTAATTTTTTATTTTTTACATCTCTCAAATAAAAATTTATAACATTTTTTTATTTGTTAAAAAATTGATCTCATTAATTTTTCTTCTCCTTCTTTTAATTTTTTTTAAATAAAAAAATGAAAGTTAATGTTTCCGCCTGGGGAATAAAATCTAGTTAATTGAAGAAGAAGAAGAAAAGGCATGTGGCGCATTGGTTTTAGAGTTGGTAAAAAGGGCCGGAAGGGCTCGAGCCTAAAAGGACCAGCCCTTTTAAGTCCAAATTCCCTTTAAAACCTTAATATTTGAAGCTCGGCTCTTGATATAGCGGGCTCAGGGCAGGCCCTGCGGGCTTTAAGCCCTTTTAACTATTTTTATTTTTTTTAAATTTTTTAATCAAATAAAAAATTACTTCATTTTAATATAATACTCAATCAAGAAAGGTACAAAAAAAACTAACTAAATAACATCTAAATGAACTAAAAATATAAATAAAATAATGGTAATGCAATAAGTAATAGATCGGCTAAGCCAACAAACACTCAATCAAAATTAGAAGAGTAAATATTGAACTGAATGAATCATTATCATGGATCTAGATGAATTAGGGGATTTAAGGTTGTATTTTTTTAGAAAATAGTAGCTAAGGATTTCTGTATGAAATTTATATCAATTAAGAATCAATTGTTGTCAAAACCTGAATGAAAAACAAGCTACAATGAACTATTGTTAATTTAAAATAAATTGTTATTAAAACTTAAATGAATACTTATTGAGAAAGGCTAACTCAAATTCACAAGTATCTACTCAAATTTTGACAACAAGTGATCATTGATTGATATAATTTTTTTATCAGTGATTCTTCATTGCTATTTTTCCTTCTTTTTTTTTACCTTCTATCCTCAGTAAATATGGGCTAATATGTGATGTGGAGTAAGATTTAATTTATTTTTTTTCAAATTTAAAAAGAGTAAAATTATGATAATTAATTAAAACAAATGTATATGCGGGCTTAAACGGGCTGGCCCTCAGCCTTACAGGGCCGGCCCTTTTAAGCCCTAAATTAAACGGACTTAAACGGGTCAGCCCATTTAAGCCTGATTTATCATTTTAGAATCTCATTTTCAAGCCTGACCTTACTCTTATACGAGCTTAAACGAGCTAGTCTGACGAGCTTGACTTGTTTTTCCAGCTCTAATTTGAAAAGTGGAAGGCGAAAAAAAAAATGTTGCAGTAGAGAAACGATGGGCCGAATGGAGGAAAATACGTGGCAAGCACCTGCCCCCCACCAGGCTCACGCCTTGGTATAGAAGTTATCTCGAGTAGTTTTATTCAAGAGATTCATTTTCTACTGACACTTGTTTAGTTTTATAATTTATTTTGATCCAAACAAAAGTTCATGATTTTTTAACATTCCACATTTGGGTCACTCCAATCTAAGTTGGACAGTAACTAAACATAACCTAAGATATTGTGTCTTAAAAAGATGATAAATCTTTTAACATACAGCAACACTTTTTTGTATTTCTGTTTTACATTATTACAATATACTCTTTTTATTCAAAAATATAAAATATTTTTAATCGAATGTTATTCTCAATAAAGTAATTAACTACTTTTAAATTAACTCTATCTTTTTATATTTATCCTATTAAATATTCTATAATAAATATAAAGTTATTATCAATAGTGATATTTTAAAAAAAAAGCAATCATTACATCTCAAAAGATTAAAAATATTTTATATTTTTTAACATCTAATTTTTTTAAAAATTTTTTATATTTTTTAATGAAGAGAGTATATATTATGCAAAGGATCTGTAATCGAACTACAAGCAAATCCTGAAATATATATATTAGCATATTATTTGCAAGGAATTTAACTAACAAGGTATCGATCCACCGGCATTTTATGCTCAATCGTTTGAAAGAAAAATAGGTGGCGGTGGGCGTGCGCTGAGCGAAACTTCTATGTTAAATTAAAAAGATTTGTGGGCCAATAACATAGAACAATTATTATCATCAAATGCTTCAAATTTGGCCATCCACTTTCATAAATTTTGTAAAAACATAAATGTCAACTGATATAATACTCTCTTTATATTAAATTATAAAAAATTTTTAAATAAAATTTTATATATTAATAAAACTCATTAAATATATTTTATAATTTTATTTTTTTAAGTAAAAATATAATTTTTAAAAAATATCATTCATTTAATGCCCAATTGATAAAATAATATTAAAAAAATAAAAGATAATATTTAAAAAATATTATTAATAAAATTTTATTTTTATTAAAGTGTTTTATATTTTAAAATATTAAATATTTTTTAAAATGTCCCATAATGAGTGTCGTATAAATACAAAATACATTGAATGACTGAACAAATTTATGTTCCATATTGCTGACAAGGAAATTGTTGTGTTTTCAAGATTATTCTCAGAAGTAAGGAACGGATGATTCCAGAAGGTGGGCTGGCGCGCGAGGTTATGACTGTGGAATGTGGATGACTCAAATCGATCCACAGGGAAGATTAAAATTTGGCAAATATGGCATTCTTGAGGTCAGTTGCAACAACCACAACAGCGATAGCTGCTTCTGCAATTCCTGCAGCTTTCGCCTTTTCATCTCTCTCGACATCACCCTCATCTTCCTCCCAATCCCCCAATATCCCTCACGTCCCCTTCCTCTCCATCTCTCAATCCTCCAACCCAAACCGTTTCGGCCTTCTCAAGGCATTTGCTAGCCCCGGCTCAGCTCTCCCCATGGACGCCCCAACCTCTCCACATAAGCATTCCTCTCTGGTTCGCCCATCGCTTATCTCAAAATTTGCTCTTCTTCTATTAGTTCGGCCATAGTCTAAACTACTTTTATTGTTATCTCCTCTTTCTCTTGGCAGGTCGATGCTGTCTTGCCGGATTTACTGGTCAGTTTGACAATTTATTCTGAAGGCAACTGTTTTCTTTTCTTTTATATCTGTATAGGGTCCTGCTCATGCCTTCTGTAACTTTGTTGGGCTTTTAGTTGTTAGTTTGCTCAGCGTAGCGAAATCTGCTGGTGGTATTCTGTCGTTCCATACGCTAAAATCCGTACCGTTTCCACACTTGTGTGGTATCTTCGAGTATGAAACATATGAAAGTGTCTAAATCTCGCTGCAGATAATTCCGATTTAATAATTAAAAGGTTATCTTTTTGTAGACTCTTAGCATATTATCATTTGAAGGCTTCGCCCGTGTTACTAGAAAAAATTGGAATGGAACGGATTAAAAAATGAAAATGAAAATGAAATAAATCATCCTCCATTCATCATAAACATGATAAAATCCAATACCCGCTGCAGGAATCACCAAAACCCTCACAAATCTCATGAATCATGCAACCTCACGAACTAAATTATCCTTCCTTCTCATGAACCCTTAGACTTTTTGTTGTATTGGAGTGTTATCGATTCATGTCATCATTTTTTAAGAATTTAAATTACATTTCATCTCTATTGCGTAATAATAATACACATAAAAGGGAGGGTGAATGCCCCAGGGTATAAGTCCTTGTTGTCTTGCTCTTTCATGGATCTCATTCTCCTGCTCTATCGAATTATCGTTTTTATAAATGTCGGAAGAAACTTTTTTGCAATAAAATGACTTGTTGATCATCTGGTGATTTAATGTTTTATGGTTAATTTGGTCCCAGACGGAATACATGGTGGATATGAAATGTGAAGGCTGCGTTAATGCGGTTAAGAATAAACTGCAGACAGTAAATGGTAGGCTTCCTGATGCATTGTTCTAAGTAGCTTGTTTATAATTTTCTTTCCAAGCATAGGTTGTTCTTTTGTTATTCATTCTGTCAAATTTACCAGGAGTGAAGAACGTAGAGGTGGACCTGAGTAATCAGGTTGTTAGGATTCTTGGTTCCACACCAGCGAAGACGATGACTGAAGCTTTGGAACAGACTGGCAGAAGAGCTAGACTGATTGGACAAGGGGTGCCTGAAGGTTGGCCTGTTAAATCCTCGATGTTAGTATATACTTACTGGTTGCCAATTTGATAACATTTTTCTTTTAGAGTGATAATTTTTCTGTATGATCTTATTTTATTGGTTATCTCCATCACATTAGATTGTCAAAGCACTGGTTTGAAGGCTTGGGCAATCTTTAGACATGCAGGGTTACTCTTGCTTAAGGTTCTGGAAGAATACTAAGGGTATGATAATTGGGCTTGTGGGTGGTATGATATAAATGAGATTGATCGTCTTGATACTGCATGTAACAAATTCTAAATTCTTGTATCGTCCAGGATGTAATTATTGTTTATTTTAGCTTCCATTGTTTTGAGAAGCAAGCTCAGCTGAGAAGCTTCTCTGCCTAGCAATCGGCTTTCCTGTAACATTTATTGCTAAATGATTTGAGAGAATGGTCTTAAGAGTCAGAGATATACAATGTATATGGCGAGTATTAAATTACGTCTTCATCTGACCACCTCATCTGAGCAGTTCACATCATAAAATAGAGACTAAAGACAAGAAGACTTTGGTTCATCTTATCTTGATTGAGTAGCTAAATTAATTTTTATCAACTTCAGTAGTTTTTTTCCAAACAAAATTTAATTTGATCATGAATTACATTAAATCACATACGCTATGTTATCCTCTCGCACCTGTTACACAATTACTATGTATTATTCCGGTACTATGCTGGAGCATCTTTTCTGTGTATTTTCCTTGTTCTTTTGTCCCTAATTAATATGGCATAACATGAAATGTGACTTTACCAATATGAAAACGGCATTTATCAAGGAAGGTTGGTTCAGTTATCAAGGATGTGACTCATGCTTTATGAGGTTGCAAGTGTAAATCTTCTTGTTGATGGGACAATCTTGGTGGCGTGTAATTTGTATAAACCTCTATAAGAGCTTTATAAGCTATGAGACTTACCGTAATCCTAGTGAGCTCTTGTGCTGTAACTTAACTTTCTTTTATCCAAAAGGGGGTAAAAGAACTAGATATGTGATGTCTCTAGATTTTTGCAGCAATATTGAAAGGTCATTGATTGCATAGCAACACACATATCACTCACTCTGAATGTTAGTGATATATTGTTACTACTTATTTTAATAGGTTTTGATTATCTTAAGAATATAGTTCTCATATAAATAACTCTTCTGCTTCAGAGTTTTTAATATCTGCTGCTGTTTCCGAGTTCAAGGGTCCTGATGTTTTTGGTGTCGTTCGCCTGGCTCAAGTAAACATGGAACTGGCCAGGATTGAAGCCAACTTTAGTGGGTTGTCACCTGGAAAGCATGGTTGGTCTATTAATGAGTTTGGAGATCTGACTAGAGGTGCAGCAAGCACTGGGAGAGTGTTTCATCCAACTAACGAGGAAAACAACAAACAGGTTGGCTTCTCCAGACATTTTTTGTAGTTTTATTATTCCATACCTTCAATATAAGTTTTTATCTTCATGAATCTGTGACTGCTATAGCTTCATAGTATCAACTAGAATGATTAAAGGGTTAAAGGATATTTTTGCCTTTAATTATTCATCCAGGAGCGGAGCGTCTGGTATTCTAAAATTTAATGTGGTGTAATTTCTCCCTTCAACTTTTAGAAATAGTGCATTGGGTACCCCATTGTTAAAAAAGTTAATTTTGACTGTTAGTTGATTCAAAAAACTCTAGGAAAGGATTTCAAAAATTATAAAAAATGGCCCATGAAATTATAAATAAGTACCATATATGAAAATTAATATTGATTAAATTTCTTTTGAAGTCCCTTTTTTGTTGTTGTAATTTTTAGGTCTTTTTTGGAATTTTTTGGATCAATTAACGGTTAAAGTTAACTTTCTTAACAGTAAGGCATCTAATGCACAATTTTCAAAAGTTGAAGAGAGAAATTGCATTATGCGAAAGTTTAAAATACCAATCATTCCTGAACGAATAGTTGAGGGGCAAAAATATCCTTTAACTCATGATTAAGTTAGTAAATTAAAACAAGATAAGTCAGGATGTGCAGTAGGTTAATTTGTTACTCGAGTCTTTGAACTTCCTGTAATATGCTGTTACTAGAACCTTTTTCTTTTAAGCAACTCTGGTCAAGTTGGTTGATGGTTGAGAGGACACATACACAGACTGAAGTTTTATTGCTTCAGTGACAAAACCTTTTTCTTTTCATCTCCTTGCCCCCACATCCTCCTTGACTGATGCATGACATACTTTCATGAGAAATATAGCCCATTGGTATAACTGCACTTTTTTTCCCTTGCGTTCTTTTTTTCTTTTCAATCGAATAACCTGGACTTAAGCACGTTCATCTTAGATCATTAATTTCCCTTGTCTTTCAATTGCATTTGCAGCCCCTTGGTGACCTGGGAACACTAGATGCTAATGAAAAGGGTGAGGCGCACTTCTCAGGGGTCAAAGAAAAATTGAGAGTGGCTGATCTTATTGGACGATCTGTGGTGGTCTATGCAACTGAAGATAAAACAGAAAGCGGTGTAGCTGCTGCAGTGGTTGCCAGAAGTGCAGGTGTTGGTGAAAACTATAAAAAGCTTTGTACGTGTGATGGTACCACCATATGGGAGGCAAGTGATAGAGATTTTGTTACGAGCAAGGTCTGATAAACTAAAAGTATCAAAATCAATTGTAATTTATAGGTACCCTGTCCTACAAGGGTAACTTATTTTTAGTCATATGTTGAGGGTACAACTTTGCTTTGAATAAGTTGGATTCAGCCTTTAAATTTACCCAAGTCAGGGAAGCCAAAGCAACTAGTGAATTGTCCTTTGACAGGCACCTAATATAGTAATTCGTCTATTTTCCCCCCCGTGCAGTTTCTATCTTTCAGGGTCCTAGAACCTGCCCTATTATTTTAAACCTTCTAGTGACCCGTTTGATGGAGAACAAAAACACAAGATAAAAATAAACAAAAGAAGCAAGTTATCCATCTATGATAGAAATAAAAAAAACCCAACCTCATCTGCAGGGTCATGAAGAGTCGGGTTTGTGCTTTGACTCTAGATGGGGTTGCGCAACGTGCCTGTTGGCTTGGCATACCTGATTCTGCTTAATCCTTTCAAGCCGAGCTGTGTTTTGTCAAAACGCAAAAGGAACGAGGCTAGTAAAAGAATTGGGCTCATATCGGTTTGGATGAGACCAGTAACAGGAAAGGAGTACTCACATCCCATCTTGTGTGTGTGTGTGTGTGTGTTTTTTTTTTTTCCTTTGCGCGCGCGTATATACGTGTATGCATATATATGTGTATATATATATAATTTTTATGTAACCGAGTAACTTTCTACCTCTCAAATATCATGATTCACAAACCCATACCTTCACTTCTTTCCATCCTTCGGACACGATTGGCAAGCCCTAACCCCATAAGTCATCTTCCTTCTTCACTGGATCAGATCATTTTTCTCAGCCTTGGCTGTCGTTTATCATTATTTTTTTAAAAAAATTAAGTATTCTTTTTATGGCTTGTCTTGTAATGAAACTGCGGTACGTGACAGGATGAGATACAAGCTTAGAATCGCGGCTTTCCCTATTTCACAGGCAGAACATTGGGAAGAAGACATTCTCATCCTCTCCCAGCCCCGCACATCCTTAACTCGTGTTTCATTTCACTTTATCAATCAGGTCGTTCTTCGGTTAGGGCATGCCTCATTCAATTCATTCTCAAGGTTAGGGCATGTTACAACAGTGCCCAACCTTGCTAACAATGAGTGAGTTACACGAGGTTAAAAATTTTAAATGCATCGGGAGTAAATCAATATAGTTTTACGGTGCCTTGAGTAGTACCATTGTTGCTAGTGGCCTAGTACCATAGTGGTACCAAGCACCTCCCTCAAAGGAGGTTACATGTTCAAATCATGTGGGTGTGGGTGTGGGTGAGTGTCCTTCCCTCTAGAGAAATGTTGTAAATATGGGAATGTGTGTTGAGTTTGTAATTGTCCCTAGTCAAAATAAATAAATAGAAGTGGTAACATGGTCCACAACGGATGGCATTATCTATGTTGTCCGGTTTAAAGGTTGTAATTTGAAAAAAAGCATTATGTGATGTAATTAGTATGTGACAAAAAATTTAGGGTTAAAGGTAAAACTACTCTTAAAGTTTTCCTTCAGAGACAATTAGTATTTTTAAGCGGATGAAGGTCTAAAACTACCCTTCATGTTCATTTAACGGGTACAACTGTGCCAAAGCCATTAGAGGAGGTGCGTTATATTCCTTCACAGTTATCGCCACATGTCATCAAATCAACCATTGACCCTATCTTTTCCGTTCAAATCAGCCTTCCCTCTCCTCTCATTCTCTCCCTCAACTCCCGCACGTACAAACAGCTAATTAGCAGTGAGAGTACCAGAACCTTTTATTCTTATCTCTCATGACCAGAATCATTTACAATACCATTGAGAAAATGAATCGCCTTTGCCAGAGAATCGTTCTGATCGATATCTACTGGATCGTCCTCGGAAAGGTATCTTTTATTGGCCGTTTCTTCCAGTTCATTTGGGATAGGATTCTAATATGCTAAATATAAATCTCATGAGTTCTAATCAAATTCAAGACTTATAACTTACTGAATCTGATAGAGTGGCAAATTAGCAACAGTAGCGGGCATGTTGGCAAAGAAGGAAAAAGAAAGAAAGAAATTAATAGCAGCACATGGCGCTCAAAAAGGTGAGGTTAACACGACACATGGCGAGATTCCGATACTCATTCCTGCGAAGTAGAGAGCAGCAAGAGAAAGAGATGTGAAGAAGAGCTTCGTCGTGTTAAGTACTCTCTCCCGCTCCCACTACTTGTGCGATATTTTTGACACTACCATTTTCTTGTGTTCGACTCTGTTTGTTCGAGGATCTCTAATTTCTTTCGGTATATGGATGTTGCAAGTGCTTCAAAATTCAACTAAATTTAATGGACCAGCATCGTTGCAGAAATGGCTGCAATTCTTGGTCATGAGATCATGAAATTGTTCGCATTCCCTTTGTACTCTTCAGAAAGATCATCCATCACCCTCCTCACCGCTCCCTCTCCCTTCTCCGTCTTTCTGATCAGTATCGTCTTCCAAAATGCAAAACCCTCACACCGTGTTGGTTGATCTTCTTCAAGTAATTGAATTGAATTTCATATTGTTATGAACTGTCATCTGTCAAGATTTGTAATCTTGTGAACTAAGCTGTGTAGGTTCAAGAATCAGAGGAAGAGAGAAATTATCGAGGAAGACAAACCTTGAACTCCTGAATGGTAGACTCCAAGGCCGTACGTCAATCTAGTTCGTGCGTCGAGGTGGGGTGAAGTAGAAAGGGTATGAGCAAAGTGCAAGAGGAGAGAGAAGGCTGATTTGGAAAGCAAAGAAAAGTCAATGGTTGATTTGGTGACACGTGGCAATGCTATGAAGGAATATAATGAATGTTTACCTCCTCTAATAATTCCAGCATGGTTGTACCTATTAAATAAATATTAGGAATACTTTTACACCTTTCTCCACTTAAAAACATTAAATGTTCTTAAAAAAAAATTTTATAAATATTTTTGTCCTTACAATCCAAAATTTTATTGCACTCCGTCTAATCTTGTGTTTTCCTGTATGACCAAAAGAAGAAATGGTTCTTTCTTAAAGAAATTGTTGTATTTCTTTTGTCATGAGCAGAACGTTCCTTGAACTGTCAAGGACAGTTTCTCCGTCTGGCTCTCGTAGGCCGAAGCAAATGAAGAACGTGCAACCACGAAAATTTTAACTGATATTTAGTCCGATCTCACACCTTATACCTGGATTACTTTAACACTCATTGTCAGGTATATCACAAAATTCGTGACGCAAATCTCTGCACTGTTTACAAGCCTGCTACAAGATCCCCCCCCCCCTTCTTTTAGTGAAAGAATTCCAATCTTTTGCTAAATGTTTGCTTGAAACCTAGCAAAGACTTTAAAGAATACATCATACAACACGATGCAAAGAACAAACTCAAATTTCAACTCAACTTCAAAAGGCAGCCTACACATGTAGCAACAACTAATAGTTTGACCACCAAAACCTCGACTTTGTCACTGCGAATTTGATAGCCAGATGCACAAGAATTTCATAGGTAGCAGGATCTAAGAAAAATGACGTGTGCTAGTTCTCTGCCCTCGATCAAGGATCCCCAATAAGGAGAGCTGACCAGCAAATTAGGTTGACAAAGGAGGCAATAGTCCTTCTTTTGTAGCCATTTCAAATAAAGCCACAGCCATTAAGACCTTGGAATCAGCAGTTGTGCGCCAAAGTTTCTTGTATGGTACCACTCGGACCTTGATCAGCTCCCCATGTTCACGAAGGCCGGTTTCTTTACCCTGTAGCTGTGCAATAGTTTTCTTATCAACAGAGCCTCTGTACAGAAATATACTGATTTCTTCGTCACAGCCTCCCTTCAATCACAAGAAAGAATTTATATTTTTTAAAAGGAGGAAACTTTATAAGTTGTTGAAAGCATATGCAGTTAAGTTTATGAATGATTTGGACAGACATCTATGCTACTGACCAGTAAATTAAGAATGGAGAACACCATTTAAGCAGGAAACCCCTTAATATTTTGTTACAAATAAAGATTTGAATACTAAATCATAACATAAAATTTCAATCAACATATGGATTGGATTTAGACCATATGACCTAATGACCTAGCTTGAATTGCATCGTTATATTTCTAAATTGCAAAATCAGTTTGGAAAAGCATGGAGCTGAATAATTAGAAGTTCTTCATAAGTAGTTTGCAATAAGTTCTCATGCGGCCATATACTAAAAGATATTTGATCACTCAAATAACTCAGTTAAACTAGACACGTCTTAAATTTCACTAGGTTTTTCTCATCCATTTCCAGAGTTCAAGAGTATCTCAAACCACAATTCTTCTTTCTGTCACAAGTGTCCCAACATATGTGCAAGGCCATTGGACCTCTGGCAGCGTTAAATCAGTCACATAAGCAGGTTAGCAAACGACCTATGTTGTATTCTACTTATACATAAATGGTTATAGTCCTATAAAGTGCTGCTCTACAACAGCAACAAACAACAGGAGGAAGTCTTATCCTGCCAAAGCAATATGAATTGCATGAGGCCATTTCTACTTCCAAAATATTATTTCATAAATTTGCATACTAGCAAGTAGCAACAAATGTCATGCTAATTTATTTGCCAAGTTGTATGCTAAAAAAGCAGGGACAAAATAGGATGCACAGAGAAGTAACCAATTAGGTCCTGAGGTTTCTAGAGAAGAATTTCAAATACCGGTGAAGGAATAACTCTGCATCCAGTAGATGGTTCCAGGAAGGCAGTGAGGTCAATCATGTCTACTACGTTTAAGCTTATACCAGTCTCTTCTTCAACCTGTCCATGCATGACATCATAACCCATGAACAGCAGCGTAGTGAGAAAAGTTCAAACAAGGCTGACAAGGAGCAAAACTACTTGCATACCACATCTTGAAAAACTGATCCCATACAAAACTATAATTTTTATGATTAAATGAAACATAAAACGTCTATTTATACTAAATTAATCAATCATAATTAAAAAAAGAAGTGAAAAAAGTGGTTGCCAAAATCATTTCTTGGTTAAAATATCACAGGGAGAACCAAAGGCTGTGATGCAAGGAAATGGTACCATTAATAAAAGCACAGATAAGACTTTACACCAGCCAAAATGGGGAAAAGTGGGGAGGGGGAGAGAGAGAGAGAGAGGACCTCACGAACAGCAGTTCCAACAAAATCGCCCTTGTCATCATCCAACATTCCAGCAGGCAGTTCCAATAAGATCCTTCCCGTGGGGACCCTTGCCTTATCAATAAGATTTTTCAATGAGATTGAAATGAAGCTGTTAGAGCCCAGGAACTAAATTCCAGAACTCCCTGCTTGATTTGAAATAGAAAATAAGACTGAAAGGAAACAGAAGCAACTGAACTTTCTTATATTCAATACATATATCTTTCTTATATATTAGATATTAAATAACTATATAATATATAATTTAACATATTTCTTACCATCATATAATTAAATAAAATATATGCTAATACATATCAAAAAGTTAGCATGGTATAATTTCTTCTACGTTAATTTATATGCAATAGTGATAGTGAGACCATGTGGAGTCTGACCCCAGCAAATTAGGATGTGGAAAGCGGTGTCCTATGGATTTGACTTTTCCCATCACAATTATCTAACCAAAAAAAAAAGGAAAAGGAAAAAAGAGAAAGGAAGAAGGGAAATGTCAAACGTAGACTTCCAAACAACTATTAACAAAGTGTAATATCTTGGTAACATATTTTCACCATGTATAGTACCTCAGTAAACATTTTTTTTTTTATAGGATTTGGCTCAAATTGCCCAAGCTTCTTCGTTTTCCAAAAGACTCCCCCGAAAAACTTGAATTAGGTTCCTCGAAAAGGGAACTGATGTAACACACACTCACACACACTAACACAGTGCTTGGACAGAGGGAGAGAATAGGGAGAAATAGAAACAGAGAGAGGCAGAGAGGAGAATGAAGAACAGAACAGTAGGAGGAACAAGAGAGGGAGACGCAGAAACGCAGAGGGAGAGAAGGGCTATCAGAAATTTCAATCAAATATTACATGTGTTCTCTTACAAATGCAAGCTAGTCTATTTAAACTAACTTTTTTATTTCTTAAAAAAATCTTAATCACTTGTCGGTATAAAGCTAATGTTCAGATTTTCCTTCTATCAAAATATTAAAATAACACTAAAAGAAGCTACAAACTAAATAGGTTTCTTAGAAGCTAAAAAAAATATAATAATAATAATGTACTAGTCTAATTTTTTTAAATATGTTATTCTCATATTTAATCAGGAACCCACGCACTCCCTATGACTGCCTGTCCTTCTAGCTGCACCTAAGCTCACCTATTCCCCCTTCACCCTGGTTTCTTCGGTTAAGGTTTGTTATACTCCGTGAGAGTATTCTTTATGAGTTGTGACCAGTAGTTTCCACATTTCTGCCCTTCTTGCCAATCCCTTATGTCTCCTTTTCCGTGTTTTGGTGACAGGGTGTTGGGATCCATCAGATGCATAAGAAGATATAAATTTCTGGTATTAATTGGTCTGAAAGCAACCAAAAAAAAAAAAAAAACACTATAAGTTTGCAGCCATTACCTGCTCAGTAAGAACAGCATACGTCTCACCTTCTGATTCCAAAAGTATCAGAACTGCCACAGCTGGTCCCCGTGCAAATACGATTCCTGGAACCTACTTGGGGTTTAGGTTTAGGATACAATCAAACAAAAAGAAACATAGATTAGGTGCCCAACTGTAGGTCCACGAAACAGAACAAAGATTAGGTGCCCAAATTGTAGGTCCACACACAATAAACTTTGACTTTCCAAAATGAGGAATCCGATCTTCACAGCATAAAGATGAACCGATTATCGACCCCCCTCCCAAGTTTCTTTCTCAGAAGAAAAGGAGGAAAGAGTTAACTAACAAATAAAACTATCGAAAGAGATAAGAATAAAAGCAAAAAAATCAAAGAAGATTAATAATTCACTACCATTGTCAACAGTCAACATAGATGAATACTGGAGGCAGTAGATTTAGATTGATGAAATTCTGCACAGAAAATTGGATACCTTTTGGCCAGTTTCTTTATCAACAATATCAGCTTTGAATTTGAGAAACCCAATTCTCTTTCCAAACATATCAACTCCCTGCTAGTATACACACCAAAAAAAAAATTAAAAATGATCGGGATTAGGAAAAATCAGTGCCTCCATATTATTATATCCTTTGCTTTAAAATGAAATCCTTGCAGAGACCATGAAAAATATTTTCCTTTACTGTCACTCTATAATCCTTTGGAATCACACTAAAAATGCATGGCATGTTATTGTTTGTTTCTAAGTGCAGTTTCAGTAATTAGTTCAGAAGAAAATTAAGACAAGATCTATATTAACGATGATTCTGTTATTGCTTTGTCAAAGGAACTACTTGCTCATTTCCCAACATCAATAAAGACATTAATGACTTGAGATCTATAAAGCACAGACGCGTCAGACTGGTAATATTTTAGCTTCTAGGAGACTGGCACAAGGAAAGCATGCCTCGGCAACCTATGCCATAAAATGAACAGGTGTCTAAGTTCATCAGAATATTCGTATAATGATGTGTCAATGTTGCTCAAAATGTCGTTTATTATATTTTATTCTAGCGAAATTTTGACCAAGTCTCAATCAATGCCTCAGAATAGTCCAGAAGCTTACACAACATGAAGGGGGGGGGGCAAAAACTGATGAGAATAAATATATGTGAATTATCAAAGTAACTGATTGCCAAACAACAGTATGAAGTTAACCTGAATGAGAACTTGTCTTAGAACCATGTTTCCAAAGGCTAAGACCCCATTCTTAGTTTGCAGATTATATAACCACTGTTTGAATAAAGAGGAATTAATAGCACTCCTGCACAAGGAAATGTCAGAGGTAAACTATTTCTTGTTCGTCATAGCAGTTAAGACATAACAACTGATTCTCAAATGGATCTGTTTAAGCTCACGCCCGTTGCCCGTAACCAATTCAATCTGAAACAACGTCTCACACGTCCGAATTTGATGTCATGCTGGAAATTAACACTCGGACAAACTTCAGTGAGCTTTCACATCAAATAAAAAATAAGGGGAAATTAGATCAAGAACCGCTTGCAAAAGTTCAGAATTTAATTTCGGAAAGAGCTGATAGTAGCTAAAAAGAAAATTACATCCATGACTTTAAATTTTCACCCAAAAAATGATAATATTAGTGGTAGTAATTCTGGCGACGAAATTGTAATTTGGATAGACAAAAAAGTTTTCCGGTGTAAAATTTGCAACATAGTCCTTGGTTTAATCCCTCCCTTCCAAGACAATAGTTTTTTTTTTGGGTCAATTTTAATTTGGAATTAATCTAATTGAAGCAATGAATGCACAAAACTAATTGATATTCGCAACTCTCTAGTTTCTGATTTAATCCGGCCAACAATCCAAATTAAAAGGATGGTCTGCTGAAACTAAAAGGCCGAAGGCGGTTTGAAGCGGGAGTACCAGAAGTCGGAGGAGGAGACCCCAGGAGCAGCGACGATCTTAACGGGCTCAGCCACTGGATTCGGCAAGGTGATTGAATGAATTAAGGGCAATGACTCGGCAGACATTTTGCAACACAGTCTCTTCCTTCTCCAATTGGGAGCGTTCAGTGCAGCGAACCTTTTGCAAAATAATGTAGTGCCCAGGCGGTGAGCCATCGAAGCTTCGACACCAATAAGATGCATCTATAATCTATTCTTTTCCCAGCTGTACACGTGTGAATCGCTTCGTTCAGGTGTCCCGGCAAGAAGGGTGTGATTTGAACAGAGACTGTCAATGCAGAAGAATCTTTTGACTGCTCCTTCAAAACGGCGTCTCCCCTGGTTGAGTGACACGAATCTGGACCGTTCTTCCCATTACGCAATCATGACCGTCCGTTGCTTTTATCCATAGTCTTCTTCCATGCCTCCATTTCTGCGATTTGAACAGAGAAAGGCAATGTAGAAGAAGCATTCAACCTTGAACTGTTGTCTTGTGGAGAGAAGCTTGAGCTAATGCTATTCCTTTTGACACTCGTGTCCAGTTGTTCGTTGGCTTCGGTCACCTATACTTGCTGATCACTAGTCTTCCACTTTGTTGGTTGGATTTGATACTCTATGTTATTAATGTATCATTAGTTCATTGCAACAATAATCATTGAAACAAAGTGAAAAGACATATCATGATATATAAAATTTAAAAAAATATTTAATTAAATAATTTAAGTTATTTTAATAGAGTATATTATCTTCAAACATATTTAATATAATAAATTTAATATGGTATCATGAGTCATTCGATTGAGGGACCAAAAAAAAGAAAAGAAAAAAATGAAAGAAATGAAAGATGAAAAAAAAAATACAATAAAAAGTTTAAAGAAAAAAGAAAGGAAAAGAAAGAAGAAGGGAAAAAAAGAAAAAAATAAATAGACCTGATGCTTCTGAAACTAAAAAAGTACAAGCCTAGACAAGAAGAAGAAAAAAATAGAGAGAAAAAAAGTGGTAGAAAGAATATTAGAATGTAAAAAGAAATCTCATATCTAAAAGATTAAAAAATGGATTATGATATATAAAACTTAGGAAGTATCTAATCAAATAGCTTAAGCTATTTTGGTAGAATATATTATCTTTAAGCATATTTAATATAATAAATCTAACAAAAAAGACCTATATCTTTATTCTTTAATTTGTCTTAAATCAAGAAACATTTTGTAACTAGTTTAAAAAATTTTAACATGTTTTATATTAATGACATTATTTAACTAAGCACGTGTTAATTTCTCTTCCTGTTACAGCACCTGCTCTCCTTACTGAATTTTATTGGTGGGGAAGGGAGAAGAAATTTCAATGAATTTTCTCTTTTTTGACTCTCAAGATTCAACCTTCCCTTAATTCTAGAAATTCTTCCCCCTCCTCTCATTTCCCTCTCCTCCTTTAAAATTCTTTCCTAGTTCCCTCTCTTCTCTTTTCCTTCCTTCAAACCAAATATTTTCTAAACAAAAACAAGATGTAATGATTAAGAAAAAAGTAAAAAAATGTAGAAAACACAATTCAACCAACACGAACTCTAGTTCTATCCAAATCAAACAACGACTGTGAAGGGAGTGGGAAGACAAACTCTCTTTAATGAAGCTCTAATAAAGAGAAACAATGGAATTGGTAATAGTTTGATTTGGATTTTTTTATTTTTTCTTAAAGAGAATATTTTTAATAAGGATATTATTAAAAAATGAAAAGACAAATGAAAAACACTTGTCCATTTAAGGCACTGTATATTTTAAAAATGAAAGAGGATACTATGAATTCTAATAACAAACAAAGTAGCTCCAGCAACTTAGAGCAGAAGACTTTTTTTTATGTCTTCAAGGGATAATAAGAGCCCAATGTAATGCTCTAAACTCAAAACTTCAGCATTTGCACATGTGTATATATCATTGCTCACATGTATTTTTTTTAATTAAAAACAATCTTATTCAAGGGATGATTGAGTATTAATTATAGATACCATGAAGATTAAATTTATATACATACATACATACATATATACATATATTTGAATGCAAGACCATGGAAGGACCGTGTAAAGGAATACAGAAATCAAGTCATGTCAAATTCCATGAGAGATCTGCAGCATGAAGGCGGATGATTAAAGATAACGGTATCAAAATTATCTTAAGAGACTTGACGAGCAAGCACGTCAGTGCATCTATTCGCTTCTCTGAATATGTGATCAAAGGTAACTATCCATTCTTTCATGACGAACTATTTAACTCTCTTAATAGTATCAAATAAAGGATGATTGTTAGAGGTATTGTGCTGAATAAGTGAAAGGGCTTCAATGGAATTAGAATGGATATTAATTTTGGTAAATCCTGCATTCCAATAAAGTTTAAGACCTTTTAAGATTCCCAAGAGCTCGATCGCAATACTAAGGTAGTAGCTAAGGTAGTTGGAAAGCCCCTTAATCTAATTGCCATTATCGTCTCTAATGATGCCTCCATAAGTTACAGCTCTATTGTATTTGACAGACTCATCAATGTCAAGATGAATCCAACCTGCTTAAGGAGGCCTCCATTGTGCTTTAGATCTTTTGCCATCACAATTAAGGATACTATTTCTTGATTAGAGTCTGACATCATTGATAACTTACTAGGTGCTAGAAAAAGTGATGTCAGGTTTGTGGTTGGTTTCCCGAGAATAAATCTATTTGCATCGTGCCTTCTAAATATTCTAGCAAACTTGAGCAAATAGCCTCTGCTGAGGAATTCTTCTAGTATTTGAGTTGCCAGCCTCAATTTTCACGTTTTAAATTATCTAATTCTGTATAGAAAAAGAGAAAAACGTATTAAGTTTAGAAGGTTTAATAAGTTTGAGCCAAACAATACAAGCTTCTTTGCAAGCTCGGAGAATGTGAATTGAGGAATCTCGTGAGCTGTACCCAAAAGGACAAGTTCTTTAAGGACGAGTACATCTTTCGATATTGATAAAATTGAACTGAAGTTTGTCCTATGAAGCTTTCCAAAGAAAATATTTATTTTTTTCATAAGTTGGCCACTTCTAAATCCTTAACCAAATATTAGTATTGGAACGATCCTTTTAAGAAACCAAAGCCTTATAAGCAAATTTAATTGAGAAATTTTTATCAGAGGAAGGTCTCCAAACAAGAACATTTTCATCCCCATGAGGGTTGGGAGGTTGAATAAGCACAATATGCCTTAACATCTCATGGTGAAGGTAACGACTTACGATGTTAAAATTCCATCCTCCTAAGGGATTACAAAAATATGAAACAATTGCATGAAGAATAGACTCAACACTAGGAAAAGCATATTTAACAAGTAGTTCTAAAAGAAGGGACCATTATTGTACTGGAAAGAAATTTTGTCTCCCTTACCAACTTTCCAACCAACATACATTATAAAATCATCCCAAACTCTACACATACTACTCCAAGTATAAGAGAAGGAACTAGGTTTGCAGACTATAGGAATAGTGGGATTAAGACATTTATATTTATCCTTAAGGATCCTAACCTATAGGCGATTAGGTTGAGTGATAAGACCCTAACAAACCTTTATGATGTAGACAATATTTTGAGACTTGAGATTTTTAATCCTGAGGACCAATAAATTTTTTCCTTAGTAACACAATCCCACGAAAAAGATAAGGTTTTTTATGACTATAAGAAGTATTCTAAAGAAAGTTTCTAGATTTTTTTTCCAGATCAGCCTAGACTTTGTTAGGAAGCAACATAGTCGGCATGGTGTAGCTAGGAATGGCTAAAAGAACAGAATTGATCAAGGTAGCTTTTCCTGCGATATTGAGAAAGTGGCTTCTCCAATTAGTAAGCCAAGAGCAAGTTTTCTCGAGTAAATGAGTAAAAGTAAACTCGAAAGCCTTATCATAGATAAGTGAAATTTCAAGATATTTGCCAAGATTTTCAGTTAGTGGAACTCCTAATTCTTCACTAATTTGAGTAGCTCCATTGATGTTGACATTTCTAAAATAAAAGAGCTTGGATTTCCTCATGTTGACTTTTTGTCTCGAGGCATTACAAAAATCAAAGAGGCACTGTTACATAATCATAGCTTGGTTGAGGGATGCTTTTGTAAAAAGTAATAGATCATCATCAAAAAAATAAATAAGAAATTAGAGGACCATGAGATGTTAATCTAATAGGCTTCCATTCATTTTTATCTATAAAGCTGAGAATACAATGACTAAGGCATTCAATATAAAGGATAAATAAATAAGGAGATAGAGGATCTCTCTGTCTAATTTCACAAGAAATGGTAAATTCATTAGTCGATTCACCATTCCAAAGAACCCTCATACATGATATGGAGATGGCAGTTCTAATTAATATACGAAAATGATTATTTAGATCGACGGAGAGAAGAGTATCATCAATGAAGTCCCATGAGAGTGTATTAAAAGCTTTCTCAAAATCAATCTTAAGAGGTACAAAGCCTTTAATTTAGTCTTGCTTCTCATGGTGTGAATAATTTCTCGAGCAATAATGATGCTGTCACTACTTTGCCGACCCTGGATGAAGCTGCACTGAGAATCCCTAATAATGTTGTTCACACATTGATGAAACTGATTGGAGAGAATTTTGGTAATGATCTTATAACTGACATTACAAAGGGATCTAGGCTAGAAGTCCTTCATGCAAGTCAGGTTATCAATTTTAGGAATAAAGGTAATGAAAGTATCATTACTCTCGCTAATGGTATCTAAGTTTATGAAGACCATTTTGATAAGATCAAATATGCTAGTTTTAAGGTTGTTTCAATATGTGTGTATTAATCCGGCATTGATACCATCAGGACCCAAAGCTTTAAAGGCACCAATATCAAAAGTAGCAATCTTAATTTCCTCTTCAGTCACCTCCTTATGGAGGGATTGAAGTTGAGTAGTGGAAAGGGGTGGAAAGCTCCTATTTGTAATGAATTTGGGTTTAACATGGGCATCTTCCTTAAATAGGTTATCAAAGTAAGAAGCAGCTATATTTTTTAAGATATTTTGATCTTGAATCCATGATTGATCACTCAAAACCTTTGGTCTCTACCCAGACCTGATAAAAAAAAATAGGATCACTTCTTATGGACTCGTTGAGAATGATTCTGATCTAGTTCATGGTCAGTCTTCAAGCCTCACTCAATTTCCTTTATATGTTGATGGCCAGTTCATTCCTATTTTCTAAAAGAATCTAGGATCTTAATTATTTAGAATACGAATACTACCAGCCTTATCCAAGACCGGATAAGCCATAAAATAGAGGGGTAAAGGTCAGAAAGCCTTGCATCCCTTGCTGGGTTACTATAATAGGTATTCCATCTCAAAAAATAAAAAGCAAAAATACCATCCTTTACTTAATCAGTCTCGATTCAAACCAAACTCGATAAGTCCTATTTGTAGAAGAGCATTTAATCGAACTGTTGACATGTATCATCATCCGCTTTGAGAGATAGGATTTGGTTTCTTTTCCTTTTGATGATAGAGGTTGCGTAAAAATATTTTATGTTTCAGTTTCAACCATTTGCATCTAGATTTTTGGAACCAAATCAGCTCCTCCTGTAAAATAACCTTATTAAATTCTTCCCTTTAGAAATTAATTATCACTTTGATTCCTTTGGTGATCAATTCCATCCAATCCATGAATGATCCTTGTCTTTTTAGAGGGTATGCTGCCAATATTGTTCTTATTCCACAAGGTAGCAGAGTTGGCAAATTTAATCTTGCCCTCATTCCAGTTATTGTTCTACCAAGATTCCTTGATTATCAGATGGAAAGAATCTTCAAGCATCCAAGATGCATGGCATTTAAAGGTTCTATGATATTGGCAATGGCGATCCCTATTTTTAAGAAGAATTCTGATTGGGTGATGATCAAAGTCGTATTCGAGTAAATAGTAGGTATTTGCTTAATCAAATTTGAGTCTCCACTCCATATTACAAAAGGACAATCCAGTCTTTCTTTAAAATTAAAAAACAAGCATTATGTGATGTAATTAGTAAATGGTAGGTATTTCCTTTCCCTTAAGTGAATCTGTCACCTAAAAAATTATGATCAAGAAGATTGGAAGAATAAGTGCAATCTCTGAATTGTTTCATAGCTCTCCAATTGTGCCTATAGCCTCTACATTTATCTTCGCAGGAAAGGTAGGTATTAAAATCACTTACAATGAGGTAGGGATCAAATATATTATTTGCAAGGGATGTGATGGTATTCTAAAGAAGAGTACGATCATACGGCTTAGGGTCACCATAAACACAGGATAAAAGATAGAAAATGTTATTAGATATAACATTAACCTCACAATAAAGAATTTGAACATTAAAGTGAATATAATTAATATTAACAGTGTCATTGTTCCAAAGGATCAAATACCATTAGCATAACTGGTAGCTTCAACATGGATTCAATCAGAGAAACCTAATTTCTTAATAATCTTATTGACTCTAGGTCCACTAGCTCTAGTTCCAATTAAAATAAGAATATGAGGATTATAAATATTTCTAATTTCTCTAATACGATCAGAAAAGTTTTTACCACAAGTATCTCTACAATTTTAGCTAATAATATCCATGAAAGAAAGAAAAGGAAGAGATAAACCTGGAAAGGGCAGATTATGTTTCCGTATGGGAGGTTAAATCCTCAGCCTCATCGATACTAAACTTATCATCTTCTAGATCATTATTGACGTGAGGATTATTATAATCTTCATCTGAAAGATCAATGGCGGAGTGGAGTAACGGACTAGCATAAGCCATGAATCTTTAAATTTTCAATATTTTATCAAGGGAAAAGTAATATATTTGTTTTTTAGATTTTATTGATTTCGAATTAGGCCCCTGTAATTTTATATTTCAATCAACACTTTACAACTTGATCAATTAAATATAGTAGTTTTTAAAAATTAAAATTATTAATAAATGATTTATTTTCCTAAAACAAAAACACTTTTAAAATTTATATAAAGATTGATTTAATACTTTTAACCAACAAGCAAAAAGAAAATTTGATTTAATATAATGTTTACATTTTTATTAATTTTCATGAAAATCATATATATATGTAAGTCATTCGAAAAACATAATCTAATTATATAAATACTCAGCTATAAAAATTATAGAATTAATTTTAAAGCTATATCATATTTTAATAAAAATATAAAAGTTTTTAATTTTATTTTTTAAGAAAAAATTCAAGAGTTTATTCTTTAAGAATTACTCAATTGAACTATAAAAGTTTGATTAAAATAAAATAAACTATAAAAATTTAACTTAAAATTGATGAAAACTAAAAGAAAATGCAGATTGATTTACTTTTCATCAATAACATAATAACGTAATGTTATATATTTCCCCTAAAATCCGTGTAAATATTTTATTATATATGCTTTTTACTCGTGTAATTTATAATATTTAAGAAAAATAAATTGAACGCCTGGTACGACGCGATTTACACATGTAATTTCACAGATAAATAGGGCGCACGGTATGTGACTTTCTTGGCACATTGATGTGAAATAAATAAAATATTTGTCCCCGCATAATCTGTGGCTCCGAAGGAGAAGATATATTAAAAAAAAAACAAAAAACAAAGGAACGCTAGAACCTAGAGCTATCAATGCTAAAGTGTTGACGAAAGTTTCATTTCTATTTTCACCTGCTTCCACTTTCTTATGAATGGGTCTAGGAATTGGCCTTTGCCTGGTACTATAATTCTCCGATTAATTCAAGCTGTCTTTTTATCAAAATAATGTTGATGAAGTAACTTGATCTCCATATCTGCAGTGCATTATTTTAATAACTCGTGTCTCAATTTTATTCATTAAAAAAATACTAATCTGGATTTGGATCCACTTGATTGAGACAGGCTCCAACCACGAACCCGCTATTTCAAATTTTCAACCGTCTATATTGCCGGTAAGAGAAAGTACATGTTGCTCATTCACACCGTGGGTTTAGATTCATTTGATATTTTATTGCGTTTAAAATTAGAAAATAATAAAATTTCAATTATTGGAAATAGGGGCCGATTATTCCAGGCTCCGGTCCTCGGCATTGCATTAAATTATACACGCACACAAAACACAAGCACATTGGACCGGAGAGTTGGGTGATTGTATTGCTACAATGAGGCTCACGGAAATGGATCTCGTGAGCTGTATCCTCTTGTCTGTCTTCAGCTACATCTTCATCCAAGCTCTTCGTTCGTTACATGGAAGAAGCAGCAGAGTAAACCACCAACTGCCTCCCGGACCTCCTCCTCTCCCCGTCATTGGAAACTTGCTTGAACTTGGGGACAAGCCTCACAAGTGTTTGGCCAAGCTTGCCAAAACTTACGGCCCAATCATGAGTTTACAGCTCGGCCAAGTCACCACCGTCGTCGTCTCTTCCGCCGATATGGCCAAAGGGGTCCTCCTGACACATGATCAGTTCCTGTCAAATCGAACCATTCCCGACGCTATGAGAGCCGTCAACCACCATGAATATAGCTTGCCCTTCCTTCCCGTTTCCCCTCGCTGGCGATCCTTGAGGAAGTTGTGCAACAACCAGTTATTCGGCAACAAGGTTCTCGACGCTAGCCAAGATCTCAGGCGTAGCAAGGTGCAACAACTCCTCCAGGAGGTCGAGCAAAGCAGTGTGGCAGGCGAAGCTGTGGATATCGGAAAAGCTGCTTTCAAAACTACAATCAATTTGCTGTCCAATACTATATTCTCCGTGGATCTGGTTCAATCTGTAAGTACAGCGGGGGAGTTCAAGGAGGCGGTGGCCGGTATCATGAAAGAGGTTGGAACGCCCAACGTGGCCGACTATTTTCCTGCACTCAAGAAGCTCGATCCTCAAGGTGTCAGAAGGCGCACCGCCATTCATTTTAGCCAGATCCTAGATATCTTCCACCGCTTGGTTACTCAACGCTTGAAGCTCAGAGAAACCACAGGTTCACTCACCAACAACGACATGTTAGATGTCCTGCTTTCAGAAGAGAACAGGCAAGAGATGGAAGGAGAGAGAATCCAGCGCTTATCACTGGCACGTACCATATATGATATAATTCTTGTGTTGATAATTAATCTGCTTTTGTCATTGCAGTATAGTAATCATGTACATGGTTATAATGAATGTAGGATCTATTTGCGGCAGGAAGTGATACAACAACATCTACGCTAGAATGGGGAATGGCTGAGCTACTCCGGAACCCAAAGGCAATGTCAAAAGTAAAAGCAGAGCTGGAAGAAAGCACTAGGAAAGGAAAACCAGTGGAAGAATCAGATATAGGTAGACTGCCATACTTGCAAGCAGTGTTGAAGGAGACGTTCCGGCTTCACCCAGCAGTTCCATTTTTGCTGCCGAGGAAAGCAGAGATAGATGTTGAACTGGGGGGCTACATAATCCCAAAGCGTGCACAAGTTTTAGTAAATGTTTGGGCTATCGGAAGGGATCCGAGCAGATGGGAGAATCCAGAAGAGTTTTCACCGGAGAGGTTCTTGGGCTCGGAAATCGACGCCAAAGGCCGGAATTTTGAGCTGATTCCTTTCGGTGCCGGGCGGCGATTGTGTCCTGGATATCCATTGGGGATGAGAATGTTGCTGCTCATGTTGGGATCTCTGGTAAACTGTTTTGATTGGAAGCTGGAAGGTGGAAAGAAAGCAGAGGAAATGGACATGGATGATAAATTTGGCATCACCTTAGCGAAGGCTCAGTCCGTGCTCGCGATTCCGTTTAGAGCCTGCTAATCATCGATGTTACAAATGAAAACCCAAATAACTGGAGTGTATGGACTGTGGAGGTCAAGTAATTGGATATGTGACATCATTATCTTGGAGATCCGTCGCCAGAAAATCGGTTTATAAGGCATTTTTAAATGTACTTGACATGACAGCGCAAAGTTTTAAGATGTAAGATTGGAATTCGGAACCTACAAATAAAAGCCATTTCCAAACCTCCAAATGATTTTTTGGTCAAAAAAAACACCTCCAAATGATTTTATTATTTTAAAGTTCTTGTATCTTTACTCCCGTTGTGAATGCACAGGATCCGACGTTACCGGACAACTTCATCATGTGTCCCGTCCTTGGAGGGAGGGGAAAAAGACGGGGCTGGATTTTAATCGTGTCACGTCTTGTCTCAAGTGGGGTCTCATCTTATTTTGGATTGGGACAAAATTTGAAAATCCCGGATTTTCTTAGTACAAGTGGCTATCTTCCTAATTTCTCTTACCGGCGTTTTTAAAAACCTTTAATTAAATTTTACATTATAATGAATCAATTAATTATCTTTAAAATTATGAAATTTTTTATTTTTTATTTATTAATTGTACTCTTAATTAAGAGTATTTTTGAAAAATTTTATTAATTGCGTACTCCTCCATTCCTTTTTATAAATTATTTTTATCAATCTTATTAATATCAATTTAAAAAAAATACAAAGAATAAAAGCATGTAGAATTTTAAATATATCCCTAAATAATAAATTTAAAAAATATTATTATATTATTTTTTCTCTCTCATAAAAAAATAATTTTAAAAATATTTTTTAAATATTACTTAAAAATCACGTCATAACTTATGAAGAGGACTAAATAAACTTTACAAAATAAATTTTATAAATAAAATGGGAGGGAGTATTAAAAAACTTAAAATATCTTGTATGTTTTAATATGATACTTTTAAAAAGAGAAACAAAAACTTGTATAATTAGTCTTACATGCTTATAATTTTTGTTTTCAATTAAATCAAAACATTTAAATTTTTTATAAATTATTTATTCTTCAACAAACTCATGTTATTAATATTATTAATATATTAAAATTTACTTGTTTTGATTTAATTGGATAAAAATATATTAACTATAGGGTAAATGTGTATTTTTATTCTTAAATTATTTCTTGATGAGCACATAACACCCTAACATTTTTATTAAAATAATTTTATTATTAAAATTATTAAAATAAAGTATTTTTGTCCTTTCTATCAAATTTTCTAACAAATAACATTGAAATTTTGATAGAAAAAGCAAAAAATTTCTTTTTACTAACTTTAAGAGCAAACGTGCTCTAATAAAAATGTTAGAATGTTGGGTGCTTTTTGAAAATTATTTTAAGGACAAAAATATATCTTAACCTTGAACTATAAAAGCCTAAATATAATCTTATCCTTGAAAATACCTTATGGAAGTAATAAATGAAGGGAGTATGATTTTTAGGCCTTGGCATTTTTAACTTTAATTTAAAATAACTAGAACAACCTCTTGCATGCATTAAGATTTAAGAGGGGATTTTGAGTTTATTTTAAATGCCAAAGATACAGAAAAAATTATTGATGAAAAAACACAAAGCCCAGTGTGTATGCAGTAACGTGAAAATTACAACATCAAATAACCCAACTTTTAATATAAATAAATAAATAAATAATTAGATAAATATAGATATAGATTGGAATACACTACGGTCGCTCTGGTACATTAATCTCTGAAGATTATTTGGCCAAAAAAAAAATCTCTGAAGATTAAATTTTTTAATAATTGATTAACTTACCAAAAAAAATACTTTTAATAATTGATTAACTATTGGCCCAAAAAAGCTTGATTTAATCTATATTTACATTTTTATAAAAAAATTATATGAATAAAAAATATTTAAAAGACATAACCTAATTATATAAATTTTGAGTTATAAAAATTATATAATTATACATTATATAACTAGCTCTAAAGTTATATAATTTTTTAATAAAAATATTTTATATTATATTTTATTTTTTTAAAAGGGGAAAAATTTAAGAATTTTATGTTTTTAGATGAACAAATCTAATGGATTATACCATGGTTTATAAAATGGAACCGGACTGGTCAGACCAATAAACCAGCAAATCGGCCGTGCGACCAGTATGGAATATCATTTAACCAGGTCTTCTGTTGTCCCGGATAACTTGATAGTAACTTAGTTAAAACCATGTAACTCTGTAAGTTAATTAGACTGGAAAAGATACAAAAAGAGGGGACGGACAAAAGAGAAAAAGAAGAGAAAAGAAAGCCCGAAGAAGACTAATGAAGATGGAAGACAAAGAAGATCACAAACTAAGAAGAAAGCCGAAAAAGAAGAAGAACGAAAAGACCAGAGAGGGAGAGAGAGATTACCGAGTGAAGAGTTTTTATGAGATCGATACGAGGCATATTGACTTTCATGTTATAAAAAAAAAATATTTTTTATAATATTGCATTTTTAATAATATTTATCTAAATATTATAAATTTAAAATTTAGTCTGATTAATACTGACTTTTAAATTTTTTTTATAAAAAATGTACATAAAAGTTCTATTTAACAATTAAAAAAATTTGTCTTATCATCTCTGTCTCAACTAATTTTTTTTTTTTTATCAGATATAGAACTTGGCTTGATAGAAGCCAAGTTCTATTTAATTTAAAAAAAATTAAATATATATCTCATCATCTCTCTCTTCAGTCAAGTTTTAATTAATTATTTAGATAAAATTTAAATCATACAATCATTATTTTAATATCATTAACTTCATTAAAAAATAAATAATTAATTGAAATTTCCAAAAACTCAAACTATATCAAACCTTAAGTTTTCTATCATCAAGAAATCAAAAATCAAAGAAAGTATGTAATTAAGAAAATATTTAAAATACTTATATAGTCTAAAAGAGTTTGAAATCATATTCAAGGTATCTATTATGGAGCCTTATTTTTAAAATTTTGCTCACTTTCTATCTTAGTTTCTCATTGTGCACCGAGCAAGAGGATGACGGAAAGAAAAAAAGAGGAAGTGATGCATGCAAAAGAAGAAATGGGATTGAAAATAATAAAATAAGTCAGTTGACCCTATATTTTAATATCCATTTTCTCTTTCCTCTTTGTTTTTTTTAAATCTTTTTCCTTCTTTTCTTTTCAAAAATTAATAATCTATAAACCCTCCCCTCACACACGTATTATGTAATTTTTATAGCACTTTCTTAACATCTTAAAAACTCTACTAGTGTATTTTGTTAAACACAATTTCTTTAATATTTATATGATTATAAATTTTTTATTTAGATTTGAGGAGTAAAAATAGAGATGTTAGAATGACTCAGTGTCATTCATGATATCCCGATTGATAATTTTAGAGATTCATGATAAATTAGTATCACTCACGGTATAATCTAAAATATGTTAATAATTTTATTATTTTTACTTATGATGACTTAGTATCACTCATAATATTTTATTTGATGATTTTAGAAATTTATGATGATTTATTTGATTAATTCAAGTGTCTAATGTTGTCTTAGATATTAAGATTTTAATTTTAATTGATTAAAAATTTTAATTAATTATTTAATTTTTAATGAAGTTAATGATGGTGAACAAGAGAGAAAAGACAGTCTTGAACAAGAGAGAGAATGAAAATGAATAGAACACGTTGAGAAAAGACAAGAAAGAAAGCGGAGAAAGTTGGAAGCGAATATTCCGCGAGCGAGGGAAAAAGATGAAACGAAAAGATGGAGGGGAAGTAAATTGCTTCCATGTGCGACTATATAGAATATATATGAATAATTAATATATAAAAATTATAAAAAATTAATAATAAATTAAACCTTTTAAGTTAAAATTTTTTTTATACCTTTTATAAAATTCTATTTTAAAAATATAAAATTAACTCTTTAAATCCATATTAAAATCTGTATATTCTGAATCTAATCATTGTCATAAATGTCATGTTATCCATCAGATTGGTGAGCAATATATAGGCTACCTTTTTTTAACACGTTTTAAAATGAAATTTAAGTTTTCACTTGAATTTCAAATTGGATGATAATTTCAGTTTTATTATCATTTTATCATAATTTTTTAAATGTCATTCATTGTCTTTTAAAAGATCATACTAAATGTATTAATTTTTAAATACTTTAATTCTTTAAATCCATATTTTTTATTTAATATTAACATGAAATTATAAATAAGTAGTGCACATACCTAAATAAATATTATATAAGTTACTTACATCATCTAGGATTAATATTTTTGTTAATGATTATTATTTTAAGTGCATGATTTAAAATACATTATTTTAATCATGATATCTTTGATTGAATTGAACTACTAACCCTTGAACCACTGTTTCAAGTAATTTAATAACCAATCTAATTTTTAATATTTTGAGTTTAATATATGTAGAGTTGGTAAGCAAATAGGCTTGGCATATGAGCTCGATCCTTATGAGCTCATGTCTAAATGATCATTTGTAACATCTTGAATTTTGGCCTAGAAGCTTGAGAATATGTTAGAATTTCATAAGCTACTAAGTTCAAGTAATCAAGAGTCCCTAAGATGCCCTGATAGGATAGAATGGTTTATAGGGATCAAATAATAATTTTAAAGTCTTTCTTGGGTATAAGCATAATGTTTTTACAGACTTTAAAAAAGTGTCCAAAACTAAAAAATAAGCAAGTTGAAGTCTAAAAGTATCCAGGATAGGCTAAAAAGGAATAAATAATGTCTATGAGGGCAACAGAGGTATTTAAGATTAGTTTTAGAGAATAATCAGTAAAGTTGTAGGACTAAATAAAGGTGGTGTTATTTGAAAACTTTATCCTTATGTCCTGAGTCTTCTACATAGGTATCGCAGTTAGATTCTAAAAATCATAATAGATCCAAAAAGGCTCAATGAGATCCCAATTAGATCTTATAGTCACAATAGACTGAGTAGAAAATTACTGAGCCATAATGTATGCGACAATTCTCTAGGAAAATGATGGTTTAGGATGAGTTTTGTAATCTCCTCCTATATCCACTCAATATAGAAGAAGATTATGGTATTACCACTATCTCACATCATTTACAATAATTAAATTTCATTTCAAAAGCTTTGGCTGAAGATTTGTTTCATAAAATTGATTAGTTCACAGTACAATCAGAGAAAAACACAGTGAGAGTAATTCACACA